CTGAAGGGCTTACTATCCGTGAGCAATCTTACATGGACGGAGTGGGACCGAAGAAATAAATTCATATAGTTCAAATTTGGATCATTAACAATTAAATATATAAGAGTAGCATATAAGAGTTTACATTTCATGCGAAACCTTATACGCGGTGATAACCAAAAAATAGATCTACAATAACATTTACTTTTATAGCAATTTACTGCTATGAATTTTTACCCTGACTTACTAAAAATTATACCTATTTATCATAGAGAGAAGGAGGTTTAAAAATATTGGGCCCGGCCGATTCAATGTTTGTACACCAATTTAGAATGCCGAAAATTTGTGAAGAAATTTCGAACTCTGCAATTCGTTTTCGTGCAATGACTTTTTCAAAATAAGGCGTTATGTAGGAAGTGTTTGAAAAAATGAATCGATCCGAACTTTTTCATTCTTGGATAAGAGCAAGTCAAAATAACCAGATGCATCAAAATATGTCAAAAGTTACGACCTGTAGTTTAAACATAAATAAAAATACATCGGCAGACACCAGACCGACAGGCGGATAGACAAAATCGGTATAATAAAAATTTGGCCTCTCTTAAGTCTTTCTGAAAGTTACACAAGCCCAAGCACAAATTTAATATATCTTATACTACAAGTTGTGTAGGGTACAAAAAAAACATAGTCAATTTTTTGAAATTGTATTGTATCGAAACGGTACGCCTGTGCACAACATAATATTACGACGCTGATTGATTATTATCACCGTATAGATGTACACACCACTTAGCCAAATTTAAATTAAATTGCGTGCATAAAAAAAAAAAAAAACAAACATAACGATGAGATCATCCACCTGAGTAGCCGAAGACGAGGAATCTCGACTAGCAAGTCAATGGTTGTGGGTTCGAATCTCAAGCGCGGTAGAGTTTTTTAATAAAAGCCGATAGCCTTAGATGCTAGTGCTTTTAAGAGTTTAGTCTTAGAATTTATTTCTCTGGCGAAATTAATAATAATAATAACGAGAAGAAAAGCTTTCTTAGCGTAGTCTTACCCACTGTTATTCACGTCTCGGTACAAGTACACGCATACATATAGGGGTACCTTTATAAGGATCCTACGCATCCTCTTCAAAATGGTATTTAATGACAAGATCGATGGAATTTTTCTTCAGCGACGCCATCGTAAGGTAAACAATTCCGGTACACGGTTATATATTAATCTTTATATTCGTTATACTTGGCTGCAGCTGAGTCTCGCATACCCATCGCCAACAAAATCTTTAGCTCCCGTGTTTTTATTTATTATTATTATAAAAAAGTGAATGGAATAAAATGTATCTCTCACCTTTTACCTCAATCGGAGGTGTTGCTAAGAAGAGTTAATCGACCATGTCACGACATCCATAATAATTAACTACCAAGTCGTTTTATGCGATGCCCATGTTAACGATATTGTGACGAAAAAGTAATCCACCACGTCATGAGGTCCATCATAATTATTACAAATTCTGTCGCCTTCTACTCTCCAAGTCCTTTCATTTAATGCTCATATCGATGGCATTATTAGGAAAACATTAATCCATTTGGTTGCGATGTCCATCGTATTTATTTTAGGTTGAACGCATTTTTAGGCAGATAATAAAAAAAAAGTTTTAAACATTCTGCCTTCTTTACAGTTCCATGACTAACAAGCATAAATCTCTGAGACGAGACAGACATGGCTCAGAGTATATCCCCATCCTTCAGTGGTGGGTGTAGCAAGACTTTTTTCTTCTTTTAATGAAATATTTTTTAAGTAAACATATGAGATGAAAACACATTTGTGTTGATTTGACATTATTTTCAATGCTATCGTTCCGGTTATTCCGAAAACTAGGAGCGGATCGGCTGGCTATAAATATACTTTAGCGACTTTTATTCAAAAGCTATCTTTTGCTGGCTAATGCCGTTATTATGGCAGAATTCTAAGAGGACAGTGCTCGTGCACATTATGGTCTTCTTTTGTTATAAAAGCGTATAAAAGCGCGAAAGTGGGGTACGTAAAATGTGTCGACCTCTCTAATGCACAGCGCTGTTCGGCTTGGATACCAGTACTAAATAGTAGAACCATAAAGTAAGTATAGAAAATATCATCCCTCTATCTATCCTAATTTGTTAATAATGAGCAAGCATCCGCATATTTTTACTTAAAGGAAGAGAGTTATGTTCACTTTACACTTTACTGCAGACGTATACTCTGGCCAAATATCGACAAACTTGCGCGCTGACACCTTTAATGTTCCTAACAAATTTAAAGTCGACGTCTTCATTTTTACACCCAGGAGAGTGTCAATAATACACAGCACGCAGACGGACAGACATGGCTTAATCAATTCAAACTTTCATGCTGATCAAAAATATGTATACCGTATAGGGGCTCTGAAGCTTATTCTTGGGTATTGCGAATATTATGACAAAATGACTATACCCCCCATGCTTCTTCTAACCCTTCCCTGGTGGGTATAAACAAGAAAAAATTGTAGTTTCTTTGAATTTAATTAGCAAATATACGAACACCGTAAGAGAAGCAAGCCAAAGTAGGGCAAAAGTGTTGTTGCAAACCAAATATTAAAAAAACTACTTCCGTTGATAATTTTTGTAATAAAAACTGATAAACACACACACACTCTGCGCATTAAGAACATGTTTCGTTTATTATGCGTGCAATGATTTTCCTAAAGCTCGGTGACTTTTCAAATGACAACCGCAACATGATTTAGAGGAGAGAATTGCCGAGCGTTGTTAAATGAAAAGACAATCAAGTCATTATTAAAAAAAAAAAAAAAAGTGAAAACATCATTGTCCGGCTAAGCCAACTTAATATCTGTAATCGAGCATTTTGATGCTAGTAAGTAAAGAGTAGGAATCGCAATGGCTTTGATTTTACTTGAATTTCATTTTAACCCGTTAAAATCAGACCAGAGAGCAATACGTTCTAATTCATCATTTATCCGCTGAATCAGATCGTCCACAAGTGTCAGCGGACGCTAGAGGTAAATCTGTGCATCATCAGCATATACCAGTGAACACTACAATTTTGACAACAAGAGACTAAGAGACATTTATAAAGGCACTGAATAAGCTCGGCCCCAAGATAGATCCATGCGAACACCAGCTGTAATCAGCCTGAGTTCCAAAGAAGTATCGCCAATTACCGCTCTTTGATATCTCTTGTCCAAATAATAATTACATTGATGCGCAGACGAATTGAAATCATATTAAGCTTCAAAGTTTGATGGCAACAATAAGTTATGTTCAACGGTATCAAAGGCTTTAGATAAATCTATTATTCCAAGAATGGTCAAATTCCCCTTATCGTACCTCGGACGAATCCTAGAATCCTCAAGACATTTACGCAACGCCGTATTGCAACTATGCCCAGACTTGAAATCCGATTGATTAGCACTAAGTAAGTCCTCAACATTCAAAGGCAATTCAATCTGATCAATTGTCAAGCATTCAAAAACTTTCGATAGAGCAGGCGGAATACTATTCGGACGAAAGTCGTCAGGAAGAATGGATAAAATCGAACATAACGAAGGGGCTAGTCTTCAGCCTAATTGATTTTAATTTCGAAAAATTATCACTGATCAGGATTTTATAATAAATTTTATTCGAAGCAAAGTCAAATTATAGAAACTCAAGTCGGCCACAACGATAATTGTAGCTTGATAAGCTGAAGACTCTAACAAGTTATATAAATATTCATAAAATGTGAAATATTGAAGAATAGCAGAAATCATCTGGACGGATTCGAACAATTTCGGTGACGTTCTTAGCCTGTTAGTAAGAAAAAGCAAAGGAGACATAAAGTCAAAGTACAAAAGTGCTTACATGATCTGCATCATGATCTGTATCGAGAGAAAACATGCTCTCAAACTTTCCCTAATACCAAGTTCATAATCCAGCCAAATATGGGAGCTCATGGACCAATCCAATATATAATTATATTAAGTAAATGGGCATCTTTTGACTGCCAACTGATTATTCAATGCAAATTTTGACCGCCTAACGTTACGGATATTATAAAGAATCCGGAAAGACATGGATGTTTCTTGTAAAGAGAATTGTGCAAGATGATCTCAAATGATGGAAGAAATTTCGAAAATACAATTATTGATGCGACTGATAATCTTGTAGATTAAAGTTCAAGTATGCTGCTTCAAATTGACCCAGGTGAAAGGACCATTTGCAAAAGAATCGGTTCACTTCAACTATATATGATCGTAATAGGAATTAAATTTAACACTCGCAGCATATCAGTTGGATTTCGCAAAAAGTGTTATTCAAAAGCGGAAATTTGATTTGAACGAAAGCCTCCACCTAAGAATCGGTTCAATTCAATGTATGTATGATCTTAACAGTAAAACTTAACCTCGCAATATATCAGTTGGATTTTATGGCCAATGTTACCAATCATGAAAAAATTTGTATACGAGTGACGTAAAAATGTTATAGAACATCAATTAAGACCTCAGCATATGACTTTACTATTATTGTTATTATATTCTCAATTTGTTTGACTCAAGTCTTTTCACCTTTTTTACAACCTAATACAGGTTTAATGATTAGTATATATTTATATGTATATATATATCATTAAAAGTCTTCAAAACAGCAAACTATACTCATGCGCAGAGTCCGCAGAGACGAATGGTATAAGTATTTTAATCTCCCTCTCATTCCGAGTCTCTCACAATTTATGAAGCACCTGCCATCGATGCAGAGAAATTCATTAGCAACCGTGAGCATCGAGCGTTATTCATCCAATTCAAATGATGCCACTGCTATGAAATTGAAGCGTGCAATTGTTGCTTTCTAATGCATGCGTAGTCTTTAGTACGGTTTAAGAAGCCAACACTCCACAAACCTCATCTTTTAAAGCGCTTAACTGTAGAATTCATTCGTTTGTATTAAAAAAAACAAAAAAAAAAAAAAAAAAAACATTTTTTTTTTTTTTGCTTTTTTTGCTTTTTTTTTTTTTTTTTTTGAAAGCAAAGAAAACAAAACGACGATGATAACATTGGCCAAGAAGCAAGCTTATCGTAGTAACGATCATAATGATGATCAAGCAACAACTTCTTATATTTATAAGAATGATCACATAAAGTGTGGCGAAGTATTCACGTGGCTATGTGAAGGCGAGTTTTTTGCTGTCGAATGCCATTTATGCGAAGACCGTCCTTTATGCCCCCTAACCGAGTACGCTCAACATATGGAAGTATGGCATATAGAATGTGGCGAAGTCTGGTTGGGAGGATGCAGAATATTGACGGCTAAAAATAACGAAACAGAGAAAGAAACCTATGAGGAAATAGACGACTCCCAAGCTGGCGATAGCATTTGTGAACACGAAGGACGCGAAAATCTCATAAGTAATTTAGAAGAGCAAACTTTGGAACCGTTCGAAGAAGTTCTTATCGAGGAAGACTTGTACGATCCACACACAACATACGCGCAACATACACAAGAAGAAGATGTTAACATAACACCATTAATAAACGCACGTTACAATGGCAAATGTGAGACAAAAACTAGAGAAAAAAAATCGAGAAAAAATCTGAGAAAAACACAAAACTTTATTAACAAAGAAAATGAGCAGCGACCACAACGGCAACTGTTGGTAAAGTTTGCAAACACAAAACGGGCTAACAAAAAAAATTGGACAAAGAAGATCACGTGTAAAACAAACAACTTGAATCCGTACCGGCTAACGTACTGCAGGAGAAGACTTCAACGCAATGAGTTACAATCGAATGAAAAAAGCTTTGACAATTTTTGTTTACGGAAAAAACTGCTTGGAAACAATATCAAATTAAGTGAACGTCTGTTTAAACGAAGATATAGCGGACGAAAGAAATGCAAAAAATTAAATAAAACGAATGCGACTGATTACCGAAAACAACATCAACTGGCAAAAGATGCGCAAACCAATCAAAAGATAAACTCTCTGCCAGAAGCAGAGATCTATCTAAGCGATCGAAATAGCGCGGAAAGCTCGATCTTGAAGAGAGAAGAAGAAGAAGAAGAAGAAGATGATGTAGCTAATACGCACAACTACGAAAGATACGATGAGATGAGTAACGCGCATAACTTAATTTCTGAAAACGTAAAGGAACAGTCTAAAGACACCTTCACCAAATTATTTGAACTAGTTATTGAAGAGAGTGAAGAAGACGATACTCAAAAGAACGACATTTCAGAGTCGATTGAAAAAATCTTCAACAAATCCGAAAGCTCGGTTAAAAACGCAGTAAATAGGCAGTGTCTTAAAAATTCGGAAAACATTGAAAATTGGAAAAATGAAAAACGTATTCCGAATTGGGAAAAAATCAATGCCATAGAAAAAACGGCGGACGAAAATCAGTTAATGTGTGTAGAAAATTTGAATCAATCTAAGAATGGCGCGGATAATGAGCAAAATGTACAAGAAAAATGTAAAGAACATTTTAGAGAGACACGTCGTCATCGAGGGAATGAGCCAACAGATGAGGTAATGCGACGACGCTCATCATCCTCTCATTCGCTTGCATTTTCATCATATTCGCTCAACAGGCAATTTCAATATCACCGGCCTCAGGTGAAAGTTACGAGTGAGCAATTCGGTCAACTTATTGCGCTTTATCGCGATGCTCCCTGTCTGTGGGATCAATCTGATCCTCAATTCTGCGACGCGCATCATTGCAAACAAGTATGGCAGAGAATCACTGCAGCTTGGAATAAATCTTGCAAGCGTCACTTCTCCACGACCAATATACGTATGCGTATATGGAACTTGTGTCGGCGTTATCTGAAAGCGAAGGAACGCTACCAACTAAAAGACGAATTGGCTGACACTAGCGCATTTCCCTATTACAAACAAATGCAGTTTTTAGATAATCAAAAACCTGTACAAAAACGCAAGCAATTCTATGAAAAACAAAACTCAATAATTTTGAATATATATCGACATTTCCCTTTACTTTGGCACATACGTTACTATAAGGTAAAATGTTCGAGGCAGAGACAGCAAGCTTGGTTGGGTATTAGGAGCGCTCTCAAATTCTATGGCCATGATTTATCTCTAAGCGTGATACAAAAGAGGATACGTTCACTGCGTAGGTGTTACCGCAAGGAGAAAATACGTTTTCTCCGTTCACCCAACGAAAAGGCTGAATTTCACGCAATATTCAAACATTACAAAGAAATGATGTTTTTAAATGCGCACACTAAGCCGTTCGAATGTCGAACTTGTAAGCGAACTTTTGAGAATTTACTCAATTATAAATTACACTTTAATAACGAAGGCAATGGTAAGTGCTGTGTAGAGGCCAAGCAAGAATCGAAGCCTCTCGAAAGCTATGACATATGTCATAGGAAGAAAAATGAAGATTTAATAGTATTCTCTCCACGTTGCCCAGACGAAACAGAAGTATCGAGTTTATCCAGTGATGTTCAAAACAGGATATTGAAAAACTCCACCAAAGGTGCTATAGAAAGTGTAAGTAAAATTTATAAATAATATTAACTTACAAGAGATACAAGAGAAGGGTTTAAAATAAACTTAAGCGTTAAATATTTACCACAAATTGATATGGAAAGCGACTGAGATCTCTTCGAAACTAAAAACTAAGTTTAAACCCCATTTTCTTTGAATAGACCATCGAATTCTCGCTAATTGCCAAAGACGATCGAAAGGAATCTTACACTTTCCAAGACGTTAAAGTATTAAAACCACCACCAATACCGGACGATGTAAGTTGGAAAGAGAAAAAGTGAAATCATGGTCTCGATGTGTTTCTCTTTTTCTTTCTCTCTCTCTCTGTCTCTCTCTCTCTCTCTCTCTCTCTATTTCTTTCTTTCTTTCTTTCTTTTTTTCTCCCCATCTCTCTCTCCCTCTCTCCCTCTCTCCCCATCACAATATATTGCCCTTTGTTATAGAGCAATGCCTTTCTCTAGAAGTAACTATAAGGAATCTATTTAAGCAACACACTACCTAATTTAAGCCATTCTGTTGTCCCTTAGTCTCTTTTCCAACGTAAAAACAGCTCAAACATACGATTAACTGAATCAGAAGTTCACCATTTGATTGCTTTGTATCAACAACTACCACAACTTTGGAATCCAAATCATTTAGATTACAATTCCCGAAATTTGAAACGTCAGGCATGGCAAACGCTCTGTACTCAACTCAATAATTTTACGTCCAAAAATTATAGCTGGAAAACTGTCTATCGCAAAGTGTTAGACTACGTTAAATATTATAACCGTGAAAAAGGACTAATCAGAAAAATGCATAAAAAATCTATAAATAGATGGACGTTTTATAAAGATTTCAAATTTTTGGATGAAGTGGTAAGTATATAACGATCATAGATATTTTTTCAAAAATTTGTCCGCTCATATTGCCTTTTTCCATAATATATATCTCGCTTTACAGCGTAGCCATGAGATGTCTTCACCTGTACAATATAAGGATAGTAATATAAAAATTATTTTTATTTATAAAACCCTGCCTCAGTTGTGGGATACTACGCATCCAAATTATAACAAGCATAATAATAAGCAACGTAGTTTGGAAATTTTATGCAATCGCTTGCAAGAAGAATGCCAAGTGCAACTGACGCCAGAGCGCGTTAAACAGCGCTTAACGGACTTGAAATGCCAATATCGATTGGCCAAAAAACAGCAACTAGATGCCTCGAAACAGGAAATATCATTCCGAACCGATTTTGAATATTATGAGTATATGACATTTCTGGATCGACATGTGGCGCCATTTATATGCGATATATGTCAAATTGAATTTAAACGCTTCAAAGATTTCAGTTTGCATCAAAGACGGGAACATGAAAAATATAAACGGGAACGTAAACAAGTTATGCCCTTAACCCCCTCTGAAGAATCGGAACATGTATGTCACATTTGCGGTTTTACGTTTACATTGCGTCATAATCTGCGCTTACATCTTCAACGACATGAGGGCATACGAAACCATCCTTGTTCCTTCTGCCCTAAGAGATTTTACAATTCTTATTCACTGAAAGTGCATGAACGCTCCCATACAAAAGAGTATCCATTCACATGCGAGAAATGCGGTCAGCGATTTGCAATAGCTAGCAAATTAAATTTACATATAAAACGGCATTCAGGTAAATGTGAATATGCTTGCGGTCATTGTTCGAAATCATTTTATACGGCCTTTGAGAGAGATCGACATGTTCGCTGGCATTTAAATATACGAGATAAGGTTTGTCCGACTTGCGGGAAAACATTTGTCTCCGGTTCTTCGTATTACACACATTTAATGTTGCATAAGGAAGTCAAACGTTATGTTTGCGATAAATGCGACAAACGTTTCGCTCAACATTCTGGTTTATATAAACATAAAAAAAGACATCACCAATAGCAAGCATATAAAAACATTATGGATGTTTTTACAAAAAACAATAAAAAAAATTTATTCATTCATTCATCACATTTGGCAAAACAATACATAAAAAAGCATTTGGCATCAAAATAATGCAGTATATTTTAATATATAAGCTTGGCGGTCGACAGCACGGAAATTGCAAAATTAAAAAAAAGCTTTTAATCATGAAAAAGTTACACGCTGTTAATTTTACGTGTTATAAGTTTACGTATGACGAAGCCACAAGTAGGTGAAAGCTTAAAACAAATTAAACCTTTACCAAACTAAGCTTTAACTTAAAAACTTTCGCAGTTGTTTACAATATTTGCGATTTGCGATGGGATTTACATGTCAATTCAATCCGCAAAGGCAGACTTTTTAACCCTTGAGATAGATTAAGCGTTTGCTGCATTGCCAGGGTATCCCATTTACTGTTTTTGACTCGACTTAGTTTCCGCTATCCGAAAGTTAGGCAGATTTTGATTGAGTTGGTAACCTTTAAAAAAAGCTTATTACAGCAGAGTTGCATACTTTTGGCTATGATGCCATTATCTGTCTTATAACTCCACTCCCATCAATAAAACTGAAATTTATTTTTTGCATGAATAAATTTAAAAAAAAAATTGTATTCAAAATCTTGCTATACATGTTGATTATAATAATTGATTGCCCCACTGCCACTATTAAGGACACTCAAGTTCTAAACAAGCCAGTTTTAGTTAAATTGAAAATCATTTTGTAATAATTTATAATTTTTAAATACCGATAAAAATTTGTAAGCAGTTTACAATACATATTCGTTTATAATAATGTAATAAAGTTGTGAACATATGCCATCACCAAATTTGGTGAGTTCCTTTAAAATAAAAATCATCAAGTGACAACCAAAAACCGTCCTTCCGTTTTTTCACCTTTATTGTACTCGTTGACTACAATTTATTTGAATTCATGCAAAAAATAGGAAAAAGGCATATAATTTTTATCACTATATTTTAAACCGGCTACGCTTATATTCGTTATTTTTTAACCAGATATTTCCTGAACTAGCTAGCCAACTAAAAGTAAAATAAATATTTATCTGCTAAAGCATATCCAAACCGTACGTAGTGCGTATACCGTTATTAGTTGATTATTTCTTTTATTTCGATTAAGTATTATTTTTCTCATAATAATTTTTTTTAAATTAATTAAAATTATTTACAAAAACGTTTTTGCTGACGAAGTCGATAAATATCGTTGACTGGCGGAGCTGGAGTGGGTGTTTCCTCATCACTATCATCACCTCCAGGTAACATGCGGCGTCGTTTACTACCAGACCCTGTCTCACTCGAACAAACACTGTCATCAACTATCCAATGTACCGACTTAGCAAAGTCGAACAATTTAACATCATAACCGTGATCACCGTTGGGCACAGGACAAGCTGGAATATAAGCAAAAATATTTTTAAAATTTGTTTTTCTATGCTCCAAAGGAAAAAATTGAACCTTCCGGTAACTGGATCCGATTGAAGACGTCAAATAACATTTCTATAGATACGAAAGGACCACGAAAACAGGCTGGAGGTGGCAGAGTAGCACATAATGCAGCCAAGGCAGGTGGCTGAGGAAATGTACCCCCCGCCAAGGGATGAGCCCCCGGCGGTGCATTCGTTTTGGGTTTATAAGGAATCATTTGTGAAAAGTCGGGTCTTGGTAATTGCACCGTGGGTTCCACTTCTGGCTCCTCTTTGGCTGCTGGCGTCCCTGCGGACGACTTACTGGTCATGATACCAACATTCTAAAAAATTTCATGGATGTAATATTATAAAAAGCTTGTCTTCTTCGATTTTCGTGTAAACCTCACTCAGAGTAAAAGTATGTAAAAGTGCAAACTGTCTGCAACAATTTGCCGTAACTTAAAAATTTCTTTTAGATGAAAATTTACTAAGTACATACAATAATATATATACTTTCTGCTGGCTAGCTGCCTAACTCATAATTCTGGGGTTTTGCATTCGTTGAAAATAGTGTTAAAAAAACCCGAAATTTATTAACATACCTCAATGTAGCCTATTGATTTTAATTCCAAACTTGTGCAAGGATATAGATCCAAAAATTTATAACGATCTACCAACTGGGCCGTTTCTTTACCCTCGTACTCTTTAAGCTGTAAGGAAAAAGTGAAAATTATTTTAACGTTCGTTTATCTTTAACGATATGACTTAACGTTTTCCAATATTGCACTTCTTCTACGTTCCACCTTGACTATGCTCGACAAATCACCAATGTTTGATTCGAATTCCAAAAATCGATTCCAAACATTGACACTGAGGTGAGCGGTTAGACCTCCCGATGATAAAACACGTTCAAACAATACGCGAGTATTGTTGTCTTCATTCAAATGCGATAAGTAATCTATGTAGCACATAACATACTCAGGACTGCCGCCGAAACGTTTCAAACCTAATTCAAAGATACGAAAAGCAATATCTTTATCTTTGGAACAATAATACTCCATGAGAGCAGCAGCCACAAATACATGATAACGTGAGCGCACATCCTCACGTGCTTTTTTGAAGACGGCACGTGCCGATTTAATTCCCTCCGCACGCCGAGTAAATTTCATATACTGAACATACGCCTACAAAAGATAGCGAAGCAATGAAAAAGACCCACCATGTTGTATTCCAATCTTACATACCAACGTTGGATCTATATCCGGTATCGATAGAAACTTATTATACATAGCGTGAACTTTATCATATTTCATTCGCCCTTCTTCAAAATCAGCATAAGCAAAGTACAATAAAGCATTTTTATTGAGTACTCCATTAATAGAACGTTCCAAAATATTAGCGCATTCATCACCAAACAATTTGGCGGCTTGAGTATCCTGAAAAGAAAAGCAAAAAAGAGAGAATCGTAGAGAGTTATATCTTTTTAAATAGTTTCAAAAATGTTAATATCCAAGAAAAAACACCAAAAGTAAATCAAATGTCTTATTAAGCATCATTGAAATTGCATGAAGGCGTGCAAGATCCTTTCTTTCTCAATCGTATAAATTGTTGTTGTAAGTAAATAAAAACAAAATTTTTAAGGACCAACTTCAGATTATTATGCAAGTTCATCGATACTCCTTGACATCTGCTGAAGCACATAGATAAATAAAAAATCCAAGGTTTTTGAGGTTTTAACGTTATGACCTGTTTTAAACAGGTATTTATTTAGTTCATTTATCATCATCATCATCACCACCATCATCAGCAGCAGCAGCAACAAAATTAAAAATATCCACTTCTTATGCATTACGTTGCTTATAAGGCATCTTCGGTTTGACTGTAGATATGACTGAAATATAAAATCTGGTTTAATTAACACTATACGCACGCCTTTGTCGGCCAGAGCCTTAGAGCTGTGGTCAAGGAATTGCGCGGCTTGATGCCAAACAGCTGGATGATGCGTCAACACCAATAAACATTGTTCCGTTGCAAACATAACACGACGTGTTATTAAAGCGGTATCTTCAGTGCGCAAAGGATTTGATTTTTCGAAGGCTATAAATTTCTTCCACAATTCCACCTATCACAAATAAAAAAAAGTGAAATGTGTGACCTTTTAAATAAGATTAACAAATTTGAGCGATTTACCTGCTTAACTTCTTCTTTAGATAGATTGGGAGGCACTGCTGGTAGATTCCGATTTAAACCCCGAGTTAAATTTTCCAATTCTTTGGCCACTCGTCGAGCATTCATATAATCTCTAAATTAACATCAAACCTATGTAACTTTTGACGATTTACTCCTGTATATACAAATCAACTTACTTGGATCTTTCCAAACTCATTTTTTCGGATATTATAGGATTTATATTATGCTCAAAAGCTATATAGTCCTTCCACAATTGTTCTATACCTACTATAGGAGTGATGACTGCTTTTTGATAAACACGACGTACAGCAGTAATTTTTTGATTTTCTGCATAACTTCCCACAGCCTCAACACTACGTAAAAACATTATGTAATCTTGCCATATGGAAAACGAATGCAAATCCATGCCAATTTTTTCTAAAGCAAAATCATAAGCTTGTGCTAATTTTTCTCTAAAAAGGAAGAAAATAAGACAACAATTTGCCAAGACGAAGGTAGATATGAGCTTAGCTTATGGCAATTCGCCACTAAAGAAAGTTCGACAAGGTCTAAAATAGGACAAGGAGCTCTACACGCAAATAAAACCGTATAACTTATACATTTACTCAAATAATGATACGGATTCAAGAAATGTTAATATTAACAAACTTCAACAAACAAACTTTCAACTTTGTCTTTCTACTTACTTGTGCGTACTTAATCCAGCCTTCGTGTCTTTGACATATGTGAGATACAATTTCCACAAGTCAATGTTCAATATTTTTACTAACGATCGTTGAAATAGCTTTTCAACTCTTTCAAAATTGCGACCTTTCATCTCCTCCTCAATATAAATTTTCCAGTATCGAGCTGTGGTCGGAAAAACATTAACCAAAGATTCGTATAGACTACGAACTTCATTCACTGGCCGAGTTTGGGCTTCTCGCAACAAAGTGGACCATGATTCGATATCATACGGGCGCATTTCCACCACTTGTTGGGCTCGAACCAAGCGCTCGTGACCCCATTCCTGAACAAGAATAAATACTTAATCTCAAAGAATATTGTTATAATTTTACAATTTTTCATTACTTACTATATCAATTTTTATTTGATCACGCACTGACATCTTATTTGTGGTAATCACAGTCTTTGATAATACCCCTACGATATAGTAATTTATTTCAGATCAAAATTCAAGAGTCAATTATTATATATATATATATATTTTTTTTTTGGTATGTTAAACAGAGATGGACTAAGCCAATAGATTTGCGGCTTATATGTAAAGTCAATTATTATAAAAAAAACTTATTACACAGAAAATAGAAGACAAACAACGCGTTTCTATGAAAGATTAGGGTTACCAAAGTTTGCTATATATTTTAAATAATCAGCCTTCCTCAAACATTGTGAACTAATAATTTTGTGTCTTGCAGTCTCTTACTCATTCTTTTTGGTTATAGTTTGTATTTCGATTTCTTATTTTTTGTTTACTTGTTTGTTGCAATACACATATATTGTTCCTTGCAGGGCTAATTCATGAAAGCACCGCAAAACACATAGGGGGCAGACTCAATGAAACATAATTACTATTTTGAGGTTAGCACTTCAATTTTGACGAAATTATATAAAATTTTATGAGAATTGACAAATCATATTGTTTCGCACGCATGCGTACAAATAAAACTAAATGAAGAATATGCACAAGAAGAAATGACGAACGTTTCTTTTAAATCTCAAAATTATTTATCTAATTTATATTTATCTTACACTATCGTATATTTTTTTTTATTTTGTGATTAGCAGTTTTGGTTTACCACTATGCGTTATGTTGTGAAAGATGAAAAACAAGCAATAAAGAGCATTTATTTTAAACATGAAATATATTTATCGTATTGTTTTATTAGAGACAAAACAAAACTTAAACAAAAAGTATTTATATTAGTTGCAAGTATATATATATATTAGTTGCCTGTACAGGTCGGGTTGTTAATCTCGCTTGTTGACAAATGGATGATGTTCAGAGTACATTGTTGTCGACTTATGAAAATAAAGTAAAGAAAGCTTTTTTTGATTAATTTGGTGAAGGAGTTGAAAGACCTAGGCTACGTTTGTAAACATATTTAAACTAGCAATATATACATTATCAAAAGACGTATATATTGTGTAATATAAAATAATGAAATGGAACAAAGTAAAAATTACATTATGTTTTTAACATACGTTACACTTTAACTAATATAGTATAGTAATTGACACAATGATGCGTTATCCCGCTTTTCAGCTCAATAAATCCCAGATGGTAAACAATGGAGCCTTTCGTGAGAAAATATTAGGAAATCGATGTATATATAAATAAAGATATATGATATGAGAATAAAATTTTAAAAAATCAACAATAATGTAAGTAACGATGAGAAAATCAATGTAAAAGCAAACGAAATAACTGATTGATTAATAAAATGAAAAAAAATTCCTTACATACATAAATAGTATAGAGTATAAAATAAAATTTTAAATTGTATAAAATAAAAAACATTTAAATTTATACAAAATAAACACAAATTAGAAAAATAACTTATAAATGTAAGATAAATTTTGGTTTATTCTTCTTTGGCGCCGTGTTCTGTTTTTTTTTTTTGCGTAAATATATGCAAAACCATACGATTTACCAATTCCTATAAAATCTTGTAGAATCAACAAAATTAAGGGCTCATCCACAAAATAGGAATAGTGCATCATGTGTTGAGTGCAATCAGATGTTACTGATGCACGCATGATTCACAACAGAAGAAGAAGAAATTATTATTATTATTTTTGACATTAATGAGTCAGTGAATACGTATGCTGAGAGAAAAATTAATAAAAATTGTACCGAATTGGAAAATTATTTAAGTACGATTTTCTAAACAAGCACAGTCTGCAAAAATGGCAGACAAGTTCTCCTACCAACGGACAGTGCAAAGTTTGGCACGTATATTAGCTCGCGTTAAACCAACTCCATGGGAAAGTGTAAGCAAAGAGAAAATCGATTTTTTTCTTAGAAAGTTTGACCTTGAGATTAATTAACTTTTGTTCGGGGCGTATTCTTAAGGTCGAACAATTATTTCGGTATTGCCCGCAAGAAAATTCTGCCGGAATATTTTGCTTAGATTCTCGGGCTCAAGATGCAGTAATAGCTTTGGGATTATATTTTCTCGAAAGTGAATGTCAGCATGAGAAAGTGATTCTGCCTTATTTATTGCGTTTGGCGAAATGTTTGCCCAAGGCCATATGGGTGGATGATGGGAAATGGAGTAAAATTGATCGTAAGAGTGAAGAGAAAACTAAAAACCCATTTTTTTTCAATCCACTCCCTAATTTTTAGGTATACCTTCCGCTGAGAAGTTCAGTTTCTGCCTTAACACCTTGTTATCGGACATAGCAGCCAAATGTTCTGATGTCCGGGAAGAAATCATCCTAAATCAAGTAGAAACTTTAAGCGCTTTGGCCAATATTATTAAATCAAGCAAAGAGAGCAGTTCAGCGCCACCACCGATCATACTGTGTAAAGCTACGGTGCCCTTACTCTTTGGCTTAGCCCGTTCTATGGGTCGTTATGCTTCACATGATCCTCCGTTGCTGTGTCGCATTTTTCCACGTGAGGAAATGCCGGTGTTACGTACGAGTCCTCGTGAAGGCGGCAGCAGTTTTAGTTCACACGAACGTTTGCCATTTAATCATTTCCGTTCCATTATACCACGTTCAATGTCCGGTAGTTTAAGTCAAGACTCTAGCGACTTAAGAATGCGTCAGTTGTCTGTTATAGCTCAGCACAGCAAACAGAAACCACAATTACATACCTATTTTTCGGTGCCCTACGATCCGCGTACACATTTCTTCACCCGCTACGGTTCGAGTTTTAATCAGTTTCCCAACATGCGCGTCACCGATACACCAACTAAACCACACAAGATTTTTACCGTACCGCCGTTTCCCATACAACATTTGCAGACTATATTTGCGGTGGCAAAGAAACTATTGACCAAAGACACTCTTGAACATTTGGATGAGCAAGCTAGTGATATATTCGCTTTGCATCAGATCAAAGGCTATTATTATAAAAGCTTTTCAGAGACATTAAACTTGGTTTTGGTTACTTTATTACGTGAACTGCTGCAACATCAAATTGACTTGCCGGCTCCTTTCACCAAGGATGTGCAGGAATTTGTTATACGACTCTTTTTGAACGGACAAACTGAGTTGCAGAACAAACAGTTGGATCACGAGAAAGAAAAACGAGAGGAAAACGGTCTACCAGTAGTCAATAAATACAAAGTGAATGTTATGGCCAATGCAGCTTGTGTAGATCTGCTGGTTTGGGCCATACGCGACGAAACTGGTAAGTTGTTTATTGCATAAAGCATTTAGTTTATTTTAAAAAATAATTTTTTTTTTTTACAAAATTTATATTTCCGACTTTTATTTTTGTAAATTATTTCCAGTTGATGATGAGTACAATGTACCTTCATTGCAGTATGCTTTACATTATTTATTGAAAAAAGGTTTTAATTATTTGTTTTTGGTTTGTTTCAAAGCATAAATAAAAATGCTCTTTACAAATTTAGAAATCCCGCATGCTATGTTTTATGTTGCGTCTCCTTAACTACTTCTTTATCGACTATTTTCTTTACTTTAAAAACTATCTAGTGAAGTGAGAGCGAGAGTCCAAGCCGAAAAAAGAAATCTGTAGCAAACAAATATTTAAAATACCTCACCTCAAGGTCACATATCCATAAAAACCCACAATATCATAAACATATTCCTCCTACTCCCTTTCGCCTTTCGCCAGTTACTGCGAAAAGCTAAGGTAAATTGAAAAGATCAAATTAGTTTAACAGATGTGATTAATTGATAAAGTAACTAGAAAAAAAACAACTAAGTTGACATATTAAAAATTTGAACAAAATTAGTTTCTTAAGATTTATCTCATATATATATATAAAAACCAAAAAGTTCGAAGATGGAAAATAATTTCATGTAGTCAACTATTTATGTCCTAGACAACTTGTGGAGCAGAGTTTTTTACCAGACGTAGAAATTTGAAGAGCGGAATTGAGAAACAAGCGACCCGCCTTAAGGTCTCAAACGCGCATAAGTGATAAATTGGAAAAAAGGCATTATTTTGTTGTTTTCAATGTGTCGAAATATGTAGCACGTGAAAAGCGAATTTATTTTAACAGTCCCAAGCGTAAAAGACCCTGTAGACCCAGATGCATCCACCATATCGGCCACTATAGTTGTTTTGGCAGACGGACGATAATCTGTGTGTTTGGAGCGACCGGAAGGAGTACTCGATTATGAGCTGCCAAATACTGACAAAAGGGTTAATAACAAAAAACAACAACAACAATTGATTGGAACCGTCCGCTGTTCAAGAAACACACAAAATATTAAAAACGGCAATATGGGAACCGCTTTGTGGCACTAGCCTATGCGGCCTACTTGCCAGACCTCACTGCGAGATGTTATGCGAATATAACTATGTTACAAGTGTAGCATATATCGCGAATTATTTGGGTTTGACACAGCCGTTAATCGCCACCATTTGGAAATTGTTATGTGGATAATTGGTAAATCTTTCTCTACAAAGAGCTCGCGGGAACTTTTATTAAACATATTATACTTTTCTATAATCTGGGGCCGATTTATGATTCTCAATATCTAGTAAACTCGATCGTAATTTGAATAAGTTACTTGACAGCAATATTATGAGCGAGAGATATTTCATTCAATAGTAAGAAAAATTTCATATTTTATGGGTAGCTGCAAATTCGCTGCTCAAGAAGTGTCGACAAAGGAGATGCAGATAGAGTGCTAAAGTTTCGTCAATTCCTTTCCTCTGAGCATATATTCATTTTATTGACAAGTAACTGGCAAATTGAACGAGCCAAATTTTCTTTTTCTAACTGAAGAATTATATCGTAAAAGATATCCCATTAATAACGTTCGTATATTTGTTTAAATGCTTCTTATAAACAAATTAAGTTTACCTAGACTTATAAATCAAATTAACTTGTTGGCAAGTTTGACGGAATTCATGAGCATTCTTAACTAACTTAAATATATCCTGAAATGATTTGCAAGCTCATATAATTGCGAAATCATGACTATATTGGAAAATACGAATTTAATCAGAATTAATTACTAATATTGCTCTGAACAAAAACTTGATGATTATATGATCATCATTATCATTTTATTTTCATTAACGTATTTATTAATAGATAAGTATGTATATGATGGCATATAATCTATTAAGAAAAGATTTTTGTGCGTTAATGATTAGAAAGGTCGTTGGCATCTTCGCTCAATCATAAGTCGTAAACAAGACCCGAACGTCAATCAATGTAAGAAGTTTCAAGCCATTATTTTTAATTCCTTTATTTCTTTAGTTTTTAGTCTTTTGATTATTATAGGGCAACACCCTAGTAATAAGCAAGTCATAATTATTTTTGTTTAATTAAAAATGTAAATTTTAAAAATTTCTATTATAACCTTATAAGCGACTTTCTCCAGCAATCTCAATAATCTCAATAGATTGGAAAATAAATTAAAATCATGAACAGCACGCAACGGAAATGATTTGTACTAACACTTTTTATTTAATGATTTTAGGAAAAAATTCAACATTCAATTCTATGAATTTCGGAATACCTTTCCAATTCTATTTTACATAAAGTGAACATAGATAGACTATTCTGCCTGCACAAGTCCGTTAAACTGAACTCTCATTACAATGCATGTCGTGCTCTCTGCTTTTAGTCGTTAGACCAAATATAATACTTCGCACGTATTCTATTTATTTATTTATTTTTTTTTTTTTATAACCTCTCGTTTGAAACGTATGTTCCTCTTTTACCGCTAGAATTTCTGTCTTAGTTTTTTCCATATATTTGTGTACGATTTCATTGATATATTTTGTTTAATTACTCTATCTATCTTATGTTTATATGCGCGTTTAGAAGCTGATAAGCTATGCGGCCGTTTGTCTGAAAAACTCAAATCGATATTAAGTCATAAAATCGTTATGGATCATATGCCGCTTTTAATGGTTTGTTTAGAAGGTTTGGGTAAATTAGCTCAAAAATTTCCGAATATATCGGGCACTTCTATACAATATCTGAAAGATTTTCTTGTCGAACCCAGTCAAATATTAGCTAAACTGCATAGCCATAGTCAAGAAATGCTGGCATTACAAAAAAAGGAAAAGGAAGTAACATCTTTTAAAATTGTTGTACATGGAACGGAATCACGTTCCACAGTCGATATATTCGGTGAAAATCAAAAATATTCAATATCACGCACTGGCCTGGCAGCCTTTGAAGCCTTACGTGACGCGGCAATCGAAAATCTGTGCATAGCTTTGAGAGCTTCGCACACGCTAGATGAATTCTGCGTGCCTTCCCTGGTGGCTAGTGTATCGAGTCGCCTATTTAATGCCGAGAAACATGAATCGGAATCGACTCTAGTTAGCTTAAATATTATTGTAATGCTAGGTCATGTCGCTGTTGCCTTAAAAGACACCTCTAAGACAACCACAAATATATTGCAGTTTTTCATACAGCGCTTTACCAAAGTACCTTCCGAACAGAATGCGCTAATTGTCGATCAACTTGGCTGTATGGTAATATCGAAATGTGAACCAGATGTTTTTGAAGAGATTATGAAAATGTTCACACATGTTACTGTACAATCAGCCTCTTTAGCGTACACTTCGGATCCTGAACGCCGTCAACAATTTTTTTGCGTTTCTGATGCGGTTGTTAATGCTTTGGGTAACATTGCCGCGAACATTGAAGGAGAAAGTGAAAAGAAAGAATTGCTTATCAAACTACTTGAACTGTTTGTACAAATTGGTCTAGAAGGTGAACGGTCCTACGATCATACCCCCGGTGTACCGAAAGCTAATTCGAGCGCCGGCCATTTAGGCATGTTAATACCTGTAATTGCTGTTTTGTTGCGACGAATGGAGCCGATTAAAAATCCACGCGTGCGATTACACAAATTATTTAAAGATTTTTGGGTCTATTGCGTTGTAATGGGATTTACAAATGCCCGCTTATGTTCTTCCGAGTGGTATGCAGGCGTACAACAGATTGCTGCTAAGTCACCATTGCTAATCTCCCAAACAACACATAAATCCGATATGCGTGAATTAAATTATACATCCGCTATAAAAAATGATTCAATCAGTTTAAACGAATTACGAAGCCAAATTTTACTACTACTCGAGCACCCTACAGCCGATGTGACGGCATCTATTAATAAGCTGACCTTTGCTCAATGCACATATTTGTTGAGTGTCTATTGGTTAGAAATGCTGCGTGTGGAAAATGCCGACAAACCTAGTCTCGAATCGATACTAACATATCTTTGTGATCCGGCCTTACAAAAGGACAAATCGGGCATATGGCAATGCGTCAAATGGTGAGTACATTAACTATTTATTACGGAATAAAGAAGAAGAAGAAGCTAGAGGGTAAAATGGGTAAATGGATAATATCCGGAATTTGTATTCGTTTCTGTTGTGTTTCATGTCTGTAAGGTGCCCAATTTAATGGTCTAAGGCCTTTGCAGTTTTGAGGGTCATGTATCCAACTTAGTTGCGGGACAAGATAAGCAACTTTGGCTTATTAAAAATTCATTCTAAGACACTTAACTGAAAAAGACAAAAATACGAACGTTTGTCGAGACAATTCAAAAATTTTAAGATTAATAAAAAAATTAATTAGTATAGAAATTATAAGCACAATGGTTGGGTATTTTTGATTAGTTATAAAGAGGGATTAGTTATTTTAATGAAGCAAATTAGATCTCCAAGAACACTTCAGGAATCATTAAGATTATTATATAACCTAAATTTCTGAATTGTGCTTATTACCTCTTTGGGAGTATATTTGATGGATACGCTGAGACCGTCAGCTGTTGCTTCTCTTGCATAAAAGTGCCTTCCTTCACGACATTTCTGGCGTACAAATATTCAAATTTCCATCTATATAGGTTAAAAGTTCACGAACCTGTTGCTGCTTAAAGCATTCAGCACTTGCTCAGACTTATAAAAATCAATCTATAGTATACAGAATTTGTAGCAAGGGTTTAACGTGGGTTCCTGCCTGAAAGGCTTAATCCCACGGTGGCCCAAGCCACTTTAAGCGTACTACGCCCCCTGGCGAGTTAGACAATCCCCACAGAGTAGGAGCCTAAACAACACCAGAGTCCAGAACAGTTTATTGTGTATGGAACAATAAACTCCACTCAGGTCAGTGGTGAGGCCTAGCTGCACTCAAATAGTTCCACTTTGGCTAGGAACTTGCCAACCACAACCACCACGAGTACTCCCCGAAGGGCCGCACCCAAGCAGTCAGGACTCACAAATTGATCAACGATATGTGTTCAAAAAGGGTAAAAATTGCGCTCGCTTCCGCCATAAGGCTTCCACGGCGCCGTTGATCAATTACCACCATTACCCGCAGGCATCCGTGACATATGTTCAAAAGTAAAAATAAGGCAAAAGGGGAAAAAGCCTTTCCGTCAAATCCCTTTTTTAATTTTTGCATGTATTAATTCTTAAGAGAGTTTATTAATTAATAGGCCAAAGGGAAGGCCATCCGTCAATTCCTTTTTGTATAATTAACTCTCTCTTGAGAAAATTTTAATTCCAACGACTTTATGAACAAAGTCCATCATACACCCGCAGGCATACGTGGCTTCGTGAGGCGAGCCTCCTGACCCCCGTGGCTCCCAGTTTGTTTTACAAAGCCTTTGGCATACTTTGGGCGGATGTTAAAAACAACCGTACTTGCTTCGGATTCACCATACTTCCTTAGTTGCCAACACCATGAACTACTTTTCTTCGAGATATATAGGTTTCGGGTATTGCACTGACATGGCAGGGGCGATCTACCATGCACTCGCTAGATTACTACCTTCAACGTACTTAATACCATTCATATATTTCCTAGGTAGTAACCAGCTATTGAGTGAAGAGCTCATCTTCCAGCCAACCCCTCCACCATCTCTCAGAAACTCGTCGCCGAGTTAGTAGCCCAAAACCTTAAACAGTATACATTGACTTGAGAACTTTATTTGGTAAGATAAACTACAACGTTCTGAACTTTGTCAATAAGCTTTATTTTCATAAACGGCCAACGCAGCCAATAAAGATAGGATCGCGAGCTTGTCAACTCGTTTAGAGCCCCTAAATGATATCTATAAATTTATTATCTATCTGTACCGGCTGAGGGTGTGCCTATGTACATGCATTTTTTTTTTTCCCCTTGGTTTATTTCCACATGAATTTGGATATATCTTGTATGCGACCGGGGGGGTGGGTCGGATCCTCGCGAGGTCGCGCATGATGTTTGTTTTGTTTTTATCAATTTTATTGAATAATTCGATGAAAACTTACAACATATGAATGCATAAAATGTAAACAAAATCTGATACATTGAAACATTATATATATATTTTTTATTTTTTTATAATAAAGTACTTTTGAGACGTAATGGAAAAATTCAAAAAAATCATTGATTTAGAATATTGCTAATAAAATGCTCCATCTTATGAAATATTTTTTTTTCGCATAGGAAAGTAAAACTTTTAGTATTCAGGCTATCAAAAGTGTTAGCATTTAAGACGTTTATAAAAACTTCTCGCATCTTGGCCAAAACAGGATTTCCATACAAATGACGCCTAGCGTTAAAAGAATCTGCTAGAGAAACGTTTCGTTCCACATAAAGGATATCGCAAAGTTCTTAAATATCGTCACGAAACGTCTGAATGTCTATATTTAATACGAAATAATATGACGAAACAGTGGTGTTAGGCTTCTAATCGTGTTGACAATCACGATAGGCATCATGGATCAGTTTAATTCGGAATCCTGTTTTAATCATCATAATCATTAGCAACGATTCCATCAGAGAAGAAGACTTCCTTCAGAACATCAAAATGAGTTTTTTTTTTTTTTTGGTGTTCAAGAAATGATCTGAGGAGATGGAATTTCGCCAAGAGCTTTGTACACTATATTAGAGACAGAAAATTGTTTACTTTGTCGAACAACTCTCTCGGAAGCTTTTGCTGAACTAGTTGGGACACAATTAAAAATCATCTTTGGCCAGTTTTTCTAAAACAAGTTTTTTTGGCTGGTCATGCGCTATAAATGCAGAACATATTCATTAGTCTTTTTCAAGCTCAGACGTGCGGACACTGTGTATGCCCTTTGATCTTAAGCGGTTTGTGTTCAACTTATTAATGATAATGAACTTTGATAAATTTTATTATTGTATTGGGCTTTAGGTACTGGGTTTTCCTCGTGGGCATTTTGAGAAGACCCCAATTGACCAAAGATATAAAATGTGATTGTGTTGGGAATTCAGTCAGTCAATATAATTTGCAGCTCTGCCTCTGCAGAATTCCTCTGTATACTTATTTTCTCACTCACTCACTCTTATGTCAAACATTCTATTGTGTAAATAAAGTAGGCTGTCAATAGCATTAATATCGCACATGCTACGGCCGCTACGTTTTCATGAACTATATGTTGTGAGCCTTTAGACAAAGGGAGCTTTAATACTTGAGAAATACAAATCAAAGTACTTTTGCCAAAGAGTGACACATGGAATTATGTCAATTGCACGTGTGTTACGCCACAAGATTCAGCTAAAGCTGAAGAATGGAATATCGCCGGCCTTGCATATGCCACTAAGTAAGAAAGGCTCCACAAATTCAATTCAATTCAATCAAAAGGTCCCGTAAGAAAGGCGATGGTTTTGATGTAAAGTAACTTAAAAATGAATAATGAACTACATAACCCAATTTTTTGATATCGTAGACAAGTTAACTATGATAATGATTTGCTCACGATTTTATGATCGTGTAATATCCTAGATGAGTATGATTGCTTCGACGAAATAAAACCAAAATAATAATATTTTCGGCACTATGTGCAGCGGTTATACATATAAGAAATTTAGTTAGCGAAATAATTAAAGACTTGTCAGCTACAATATGATTTAACGACAATCAAGGTGGTGTCCCATTAAGCACTAACCACATTAAAGTACGTCATTACTTTATCCGTGAAATAATCGAGAGGAGAGGCGAATTAATCAAGATAGAATGTATTACAACAGATGGAGTGCCTGCTGACGCATTAATCTAACGATTACCATTATCAAAGTATAAGAGTTGCATACGAACCTTGGAGATGATATGAATTACTGAACTATCTATTAGAGGAGTATATGGAAAATTGTCACTCGATATAATTGGCAAATACATTTGAGTTCCTCTATATACTTTTTTTTGTCTGTAATCTGTTATATCAAACATTTTATTATACGTATAAAATAGCCTTATGATCATAAGGCGATCGTCTATAGAAATTAGGTGAACATTTTCCTTTAATTTCCAATCGTCATTAGCTTATTTTTATCTCGGGCAAAGTTTACTTGTGCATTCGAAATTTTGCACCTATAAACGACACAATTTGCTTCAGGACAATCATCTTTGCACTTGGACGTTTTTTTTCCTTTCTTTTACGCTTTACGGAATTCGGCAATATGGCCACAGGTGCCAGATTAGAAGCATCTTTTTAATGTGGGAGTAAAACAATCAGCGGGCAAAATACAATAAATATATTTTATGATTTACGGGATATATGTTTCTTTAAACCCGATCTTTACACTGGTTGTCGGTAAAAGACTTCAGGATTTCTACGATTAAGTCTGGTCGCAAATGTAGCTTTAATCTCGGATACAGCATTCTTTCCATTCCCTTGCTTGATCATGCTCCGGACAATTTCGTATTTTTCTAGCAAGATTCTCAAAATGTTTGCCTTGCGATTCCTACATTGAACTCATCGTTTCTAATGAAATTTTTTGCATTTATACCATTGGCGATCATTACCAACTCTTTAAGTCCTCCTAAATTAAACACTGTGAAATATGGTACGGAAAAAAGAGCTCTAGGGAAAAAAACAGGCCGGGATCATATTCTCATATATTTCAACAAAAATAAAAATTTAGTTAGGGTAAGCTACCGAAAATTTTCGGATCTATCATGTATCCTTGAGCTCTGGTTTGGGCACACCATCAGCCCTGTCGTTGGTTTCAAAGACCGAACAGCCCGGTACCCGTATTAGGGTACGCCCAGCTCATTCAACGCTTGCGGACACCCTAACACGAGACTCGACATTACTGCTTGCCTTTAAGGCGACGTGACTATCGAAGCGAAATATTGAATATAACTGTACACTTGAATTGTTTTATTTTTAGGAATAATGGAGAATTTTATGAAGAAAAAAAAATTGTCGCAATTTGGGTCTTATCTGTTACAATCTCAAAAATAAAAGCTTCGTACGGGATATTACTTTTTCAATATTCTTAAGCTCATTTCACGTTTATTTTCTTTTTTTGCAGCATATCTGATCAAGTTTTCGAAAAGTTTCGTAATGTTTTATTTAATCGCGACGAGATTCGTGAAAAGGTTTTAGAATCCCAAGGCACTTTGTTACTTGTTTATTTTAATCATACACATAAACAAATACAATTGGTTGCAGATCAATATCTTATTAAGTTAGTGGACAAATTTCCTTACCTTTTGTGGAATCGCCGTGTACTCTGGTGCATGTTAGATATTTTGCAATTTTTGGCCGATTCTTTAACTTTGGATCCGAACGCAGAACCGCCGGTTTTGCGTGTCGCCTCCACGCCGTATACACTTCAACTTATGGATTCTTTACCGGCACGTGAAACGCGATTGAAAGATTTCGCTGACCGTTGTCAAATGATTGTTAATGAAGCGATGAAATGGGCTCCCCGATCAATACGCTCTCACTTACAAGAGTATCCTAATCAAATACCCACCAATGTTTTGGCTCATCATAGCGGCCTAGCTTTAGCCTTCGACGCGGTGGTTAACAATTGCTCTTCATATCCGAACTCTTTGCCATCGAATAGCAAGCGACCAAATTGTGTACGCTCAGATACGCCACGTTTTGTATCGGTATTGTGTTTGCGCAGTAAGTATGCCGGTGAAATATCCGGGCTTCTGTCTGTACTTAATGAAGAAGAGAAGGTCGGTTTAGCAGACCGCCTCGTTAAAGATGTATGGGATGCATGTCGAGATCGCAGCGATTCTCGACATCGCGGTGCTCTATGGAGAGCGGCAGCTTATTTGATCATATGTTCGGATATTAATCGTAAACTCTTACATGCAGTCGGTAAGTGAAAGCACAGAATTAAGCTCGTCGAGGTCGTGAAAAGTGTTATGTAAATTTTTACGATACCCTTTTTAGCAACTTCACAAGTAGAACTATTCACTGATTTAGCTATGGAAACCGCAGTGGAATGCTGGCAATGGGTTCTTACGGCACGTCAGGATTTAGAATTATGCTTAATACAGGAGATGGTGTCCGCTTGGCAGATAACATTCGAAAAGAAAATCGGCCTCTTCTCGGAAGAAATACAAATTACTAGTCCGTTGGCAGCATATGAAGGCTGCAAGCTGATATCGCAACCGATACTAATAACTCCACACTTAATATGGTTACAATTGCTATCTGAAATGGTTGACACCGCAAAATATTGCAATCGCGATAAGGTAGAAATGTTTTGTTTATTATTGCATCGCTGTCTACCGATCAATAAACATAGCAAACAGAATCGACAAGTCTCAACTGTAGGTTGCCGTTTTAAGTTGCTCCAATGCGGTCTATCATTATTACAAGGTAATACTGTGCCTAAATCGTTAGCTCGGAATATTTTACGTGAACGTATATACAGTAACGCATTGGATTATTTTTGTGGACCGCCAACCTGCCCCAATCAGAATAAGGAACAACTGCTTTCCGATATTTTAATTTTGCTAAAATTCTGGCAAACAATGATAAATGAAAAAAAACATTTAATTACCTCGGAACTCGGTGATTATGATATACCCAATAACGCACCTACTAATCATATGCTAACGGTAAATAAAAATCCAGAAACAACTTCCCTAATAAGCGGCAGTGAAATGGGTCGCTCCTCTTCAGTAGTGGGTACTGGTGGTTGGTATAATACCATACCCCACTCTACATCAACTCTTTCAAAACGTTCGAATCGTTCGAAACGTTTGCCCGATCAGAAGGGCTCATACGACAAGGACTATATGAAGAAGCGTAATCTGATACTAGAGCTATTGGCAGTGGAAATAGAATTTTTGATTACTTGGTACAATCCAAATGGTGCACCGGATCTGATTATACCAGGTAAGTAAAGCGTGACATGTTACGGCAAATGTTTAGCTATTTTGTAAGCCACAGACTGACTTGTTTGTTAGAAGACAACTACATTAGCCAATCGATCGTTAGATTTTCGTAACCAGACATCTTGCTAACATCTTGTTCGTCAAGCAACCCGTGAGTACTCAATCATGCGTCTCTACTTCTTCTATGCAGATGAAGATGAAATCACAAAATGGCGTAATCGACCGTATAAAGTTAATGTTGGCCGCGATTATGCTCGGCTGGCGTGGTCCTATAGTCCCGCTCTAGCCGTATTTCTGCCACAACGTGTTAAAAATGCAGATTCCATTGAAGAGGAAGTAACAAGACTCGTTTGTGCTGATCCAATCGCTGTCTGTGACATTCCAGAAGCTTTAAAGTACTTATGCACCACCAAAAACTTATTACAGGACTCAGCCGATTTAATATATATTTTAATTTGGGCTCATGTAAATCCAGTGCAAGCTTTAGCTTATTTTTCACGTCAATATCCTTCGCACCCACTTACCGCGCAATACGCAGTCAAAACGTTAACTTCGTACCCCGCCGAATCAGTATTACCCTACATACCACAACTTGTACAGGCTTTGCGACACGACACCATGGGTTATGTTTCCGAATTTATTAAAAACATTTCCAAGCGCTCTCAGATTGTTGCCCATCAACTAATCTGGAATATGCAAACCAATATGTATATGGATGAAGACCAACAACATAAAGATCCAAATTTATATGAAGCTTTGGAAGCGTTATCATTGAACATAATTAAGTCATTCTCCGGAGCAGCCAAACAGTTCTATGAACGAGAATTCGATTTCTTCGGTAAGATAACCAATGTATCGGGAGAAATACGTTCTTATCCTAAGGGACCAGAACGTAAGAATGCCTGCTTAGCGGCTTTAAGTAAAATTAAAGTACAAGCCGGCTGTTATTTACCCTCAAATCCGGAAGCAATGGTTTTAGACATTGATTATACGAGCGGTACCCCAATGCAAAGTGCAGCGAAGGCACCGTATTTAGCCAAATTCAGAGTTTATCGCTGTGGCATTACTGAATTGGAAACGAGAGCAATGGAGGTTTCCAATAATCCGGTAAGTTGAAACCGGAGATTACAGTCACGGCAGAGCTGCCTTGGCAGTAGCTAACTTTAGCCCTTTGTGCCCTTCTTTCGCTTTTCTTTATTATTTGCTAGAAATTTTGAAAACTTTTTAATAATTGCAGAATTTTCAAATGGCAACCACGATTAGCTTAGGTGCCGAATGTTGGCAAGCGGCAATTTTCAAAGTAGGTGATGATGTGCGCCAGGATATGTTAGCTTTACAAGTCATCACCATATTTAAGAACATTTTTCAACAAGTAGGCTTGGATCTTTTTCTATTTCCTTATCGGGTGGTGGCTACCGCACCAGGTGTATGTTTTTATAGATAAGCAAAATGCTATAAATTCCTATTGATTTGCATTTTCTCATCTTATTCAGTGTGGAGTAATTGAATGCGTACCCAATGCAAAGTCGCGTGATCAACTAGGCCGACAAACGGATACTGGCCTATATGAATATTTCCTACATCAGTATGGCGATGAAAGTTCCAAGGAATTTCAAACTGCACGAGCCAATTTCGTCAAATCTATGGCTGCATATTCTTTAGTTGGTTATTTGCTGCAAATTAAAGATCGTCACAATGGCAATATAATGATCGACAAGGACGGTCATATTATACATATAGGTGAGTCTTTTTCTATTCTATGTATACAGCAAAAATTTATTTCGTTTAATTATAATAGATTTTGGCTTTATGTTTGAGTCCTCACCGGGTGGTAATATAGGTTTTGAACCGGATATGAAACTCACCGATGAAATGGTAATGATTATGGGCGGTAAAATGGAAGCTCCACCCTTTAAATGGTTTTGTGAATTGTGCATACAAGCTTTCTTGGCCGTTCGACCATATCAGGATGCTATTGTTTCATTGGTATCTTTAATGCTCGATACTGGATTACCTTGTTTTCGTGGCCAAACTATTAATTTACTTAAACAACGTTTTGTCTCCACTAAAAACAACAAGGAAGCTGCGGCCCATTTATTAGCTATAATAAGAAATTCTTATCAGAATTTCCGGACACGAACCTACGATATGATACAGTATTATCAAAATCAAATTCCATATTAGAAAAATTGGAAAAAATTTAAATCTTCAATTCTTCGCTTGGCGCTACAATTTGAAAGTTTTATATATTCTTTTACTGTTTAACCGTTTTATGTAACGTGAATGTTCAATCGTGCAAGTTTTTTCTGTCGTATATGTTAAATATAAACTAAATTTTTTTTAATTGTTATTGTTAATAATTAAACGCAAAATTTACTTTGAAATAAGGTTATTTAAAAATAAAAAGGAGTTTGAAATATATACTCTTCGAAATTTCTTTTATAGTGGAAGAAGACATATTTGAATGTAATAAAAATTCAAAATTTAATTTTTGATTAAAGGTTTTTTTTTTGGTTTATTTCGACCATATTAAATTGTATTAACAGGTTTGCATTAACATAAAAAATTAAATTTATCGCTTATAATATTTGAATTCATCAAATAATTAACAAAAATTAAAATAGGGGAACGCTCAAGCGAACATTTGCATAATGTTAATGAGCGTCGTCTATCTGTTCATCGCTGTCGGGACAGGACAGAGAACAATTGTTTATTACATATTGGGCAAACAATAAATTGTACGATGGAAAATTACAACATTGCATATCGGTGCGTTGCCATTGAAACATATCGGTGACTTCCAATTCTCGCATAGTAGCATAGCCTTCTGACGATTTATTTGCAAATATAGTTATGATAAATTTAGATGGTAGAAATGTTTTTATCACACGATTGATGAGTTCAGCATAATTGTTCAAAGCCACGTTGCTTTCAAAACTGACATACGAAAATTGATGTTCGGGAGTTATATGTATGGTCATATACTCACCACGTTCGTTAATGCCATTCATAGAATAACCGCAGGGATCGAAGAGAAAATCATCGATTTCCATACCGGGGAGAATTTGATGGATTTTACTATTAATCGTAGCCTCTTTAGCATCGTCAGAATGTTGTTTAGTAAAAATATTCATTATTTTAGGATCCAAGTTTTGCATTAATACCTCTATGGTTTGATCGGGTTCAGAACAACTTTCAAGTTTAGGAATTGCTGGTTCTGTCATTTGCATACGTTCACCTCGCTCCGGGTGGCTAAGGGTATACAAATACCAACACTCATGATTGATAGAACCCAAACAATACGAGCGGCCATTTTCAAATACTGAATCTAAGAATGCCACCTCTTCGCAAAATCCTCGATGAGGAAATAATTGCAATTCCGGCCTGGAAAAATTTTTACGAGAATAAAAGACATCACTCACTTCCGTAAAACCCATTTGCTTAGCCAAATTTAATAGAGGCTTTAAACAGCTCAACGGTGTAGTGGTTCCGCACGTTTTTAAAATCCATCTTCGTTTTGATATGAACATGCTACTCTCGCTTAGCACATACGCATCTACCGTGTGGTTGCGGGCAAAACTTATAATTTCACATTTAACAGCCTGTAATAAGGTTTCCCAAACACAGCGCGGTACCTTACGCAAATCACGACTTTTGTTATAATCGGTATCTGCAAACCAGATCTCTAAGAGCTTTTCCACGCCTTCGAAAAAGTGTTTAGTAACTTCCATGTTCACACTTTACAAATTTTGTTTAGTGAAAAAACCTACACGCGTTTTTACTTCTAGACGCTAACTGATAGTGAAAATCTTAAATTTTCTCCCATTAATGTTTCAATTGATAATTTTATCAGAAATCATCTATTGCTTCTCTACATTTTATTATTTTACTGATAATAAAGAGTAACGTCATACTAGCGGTTTTTTTTTTGCTTAATTGTAAAGTAATATTGAAAATATTGGTAAGATATCGATAAATGATAGAAATTCGAACTTTATACTATGAAAATCGCTGTCTTCGCCTGACTTCATTTGCATAAAACGAAAATCTTATAATGAAATTTTAAAGAGAAAACTTCTAGTTTCGACTCGGATTGAGAAGATGTAAATACTTCTTCATTTTTTCATTTATTCATTGATAATTTTGTCTAAATAGTAGGCTTTCTTAACTATAGTGAAGAAAAGAAGAACAATAACAAGTTAAGTAAAATATGTGTGGAAACTAAAAATGCGTCTTAAGGAAGCAGGGATGAAGGTAAGATTCAATTTTTATAATCAATTCAAGATTGGAATCCTTTTATTTTGCGGTTAACAAATTATGTGATAAACGAAAAAATTACGACTTTTAATAAGGCATAAAAATAATACGTGTTCACCTTATCTGGCTGATGATTTCAAAATTTTACCGGTACACATATCACATATCAAAGTCAAAAATCCTTCGCTGTAAAATTCCGCTTTGGAAAAGCTCAAAATTCGATGCGATTTTCGCCAATAACTTGAGAAAATTTTAATTCACTTATAATAGTTTTTTTTCTTTTGAATAACACCAACTCCAGCTTTGTTTAATTGCTATTAGTTTATACATATATACGATTCGAATTCATTTTGTAGGCAAAATGGATTAGGCTGCGAACCCATCAACCAACGCGATAGTTTCATTTAAAGAGAAACTCATAATATTTTCAAAATAATTAATTTATTATATCTCTACGACTCGGTCATTCATATTACGTTAAACGAAACAAATTAAATTTTAATTGAATTGAATTGCTATTATTTGCTCCATATTGATCTAGGTTAAAGTGGATTTAAAATAAATTTGAGTTTGACCTGGATTTGTTATGAATTGATTGTAACTCTAATCGCAACTGTATTCAGTGGTATGTTAATGGATTTTTGTAAACTGGGTACTAATTATATATCGTTTAGCTAATTAGCTTTCATTTGAACAACCAGCTTTGAAAACTATTTGATAGTGAATTACGTATGATTTTCGTCATTCGAAATTTATTTCGAAAAAAAGTTCCCTAATCTTTCTTGAATGCATTTGTAACCCATTTCTGTCAATTACGTGGCCCAAATATTTAATTTCTTTACAGGGAAACTTACATCTTTTCATAATCAATGTAAATCCAGCATTATATAAAATATCGAACACCTTTTCGAGTCATTGGATGAATAATTGCCTACCTAACAGAGGTGAACTTTCATTTTAATACCAATAAATTTAGGAAAATCTCTTTTCTATGTGATATTATAGAATGACATCGTTTGAATTTATTTCATTTTTTCTTATACAAGTTCAATTCTTAGCTTAATTTTTAATCTATGTTCTTATAGGTTAAACAAGAAAGAAATGAGTTAAGAGCTCATTATTTAGTGATTACCATCACGTTCGCCTTCACCGAGTTATTACAGTTTTTTGCAATACATAATTAGTGCCCAGTACCTTAGGAAGTATCCACGCATCCCTTAGTTAACGTTCATTGGCGATCAACACGGGAACTGAGATTAGTTGCTTTTGTATTACGTATGACTTTCATCATCGCTTTTGTTGCTATCGTTTAGGTCGAATGAAAAAATGAAGAACAATTTTTGTTTATGTTTAGTTTTCGACTTTGAAATTTAGCGCATTAGGCGAACCCTAGGATATAATATGTTGTATTGGTAACAACATCAGCTGACACGGGTTTGTTGACAACGCTAACAAAAACGAACGGTTGAAAAAAAAAAATAGCATCAACCGAGAGAACAGGTTTGGTTCTCAAGCGGTTCTTGTTCTTTAATATATTTTAACAGTGCCTCTGTTTCTAATTCTAAAATAAACATGTATCTACGGTAATCAAAATTGTTTTAATTAAACTTAAACAGTGACATAGACCAGTCTGTCAAATATATATGAAAACAACACAAGTTTATTGTTATTATCATCATTACTTAATAGAAACAGGTAATGTTTTATCAGTTGCCGCCATAACATAAAAATGCACTATACCGCTGCAAATTGTCAAATATTGCTTGAAACTGTATGCAATAAAGTGTAGGCAATTTGAATTATACGCACAAGATTTAAGAGATTAATAAAGATTTAGTAGAAATTCCCAAATACTTAACAAAAATGAAAATTTATTATAAAAAAATTTTAAGAATACTAGACAATATTTGATGTATATATAGGCATTACAGAGAAAAAAAATTGCTCGAGCCGAAAGATTTCAATCATTGCCATCGAAGTAAAAGGCCATTATGGTGTGTTTTTATATTATAAAATATTTTCTGGGATAATTCTTCTATGTAAATTCAAGTTTTTAAATTACATCGACACTAAGTCGACGGACAATGTTTAAGTGTTTTTTAATTTATGTGTATCAACTTTTTTTAATATTCTGATCTATGTACTCGCTTAAATTCATTAAGTTTCCCCAACAAAACAGCGGCAGGTTGACGGAGAGTAAGTTAATTGCAAGTTTCATTCCAATAATCAATTTTCAATTATTTCATTTCTTTATTTATACATTTTCTTCTAAGTTTCATCGCACTACAAATAGTAAAAAAAAAAGTCGAGCCACAAGAAATTATAGTTGAAGAAAATTTGGAGGATGATCGAACCATGAATTAGAACGGACTACAGGTGACAAAAAAATTCTAGAGTCGACAAATTTAAAGGCAGCACTAGCAATGTACAATTTTCTGTTAGTTTGCTATTGATTGTTATGTGTTTAGAAGTCCCTACGCAACAGATGCGATATCTTCGGACAATGTGCCAGGTAAAGTTAATAAAAGCAAATAAGTATACATTATTTAAAACGTTTAACATTTGTTCTTTTTTCTGTTAAGTGCACCGGGCGAAATGCAGACTAAAACAGGAAAACGCTGTCTGACACGTGCAATTTCCTTCAGAAGCAAATCGATAATGAAAAACGTTTCCAATAAGAATTGCTACAACGGTTAGGGGTAAAAGTCAAGTAACACAAGCCGTTCAAAGAAGCTGTACTAGAACTGAAGAGGCAAAAAGACGATTTTTCTTCTTCGCCAAATGACTTTGGGTTTTAAAGCAACCAGAGTTTAAATTTAAAGTTTGTTAGTTAAGCAATTTATTTCTTTATTGTTATCTTTATTTCAATACCAAATGGCCGAACAACTTATTTTTGTTTTCATTTTTGTGCTATAGCTGTTTGTTCTAACAAATGCAACGCTAAAAGAAATTTGCATTTCTTGCAATGCAATTGTAGACCAAATTTTCTCAACACGTTAGCTATTTAGCTTTCGTCTAATTTGGCAGAGTATATTAAACAGTTGTTAAAAACCCTCGTGAAGGAGTGGAATTGAAAGCTAACTTTCAGATACGCTTGAAATAACGTTCCAGCTGAAAACCGAGAGTGAATGGTATATTTTTCACACGTCATTATCATCCAGATTATGTGAAGTATAACTTTTGTTAAAAAGTATTTAACTGCATTGCACAGATGATAAGGAAATAAGTCCGTTCGTTGTTTTACTGACAAACTTTTAATGATTAATGCTACAGCAAATTAAACTCTTTCATTAATATAATTTAATTTTTTAAGGACTGAAATTAAGAAAACGTTTGAAACACCTAAAAGAAACCCTTAGAGACAATATTTTTCATCCGCATAAAATTCTAACCAGTATCCATTTTTTCGTCTTTTCGTTTGTGCAATGACTGCTGTAAACATATTTCTGGCCACAAAAACGAAGCCCTGGCATTGGCCGGTTTTCTAAAGAAATGAAACATTTGTAAAAAATATATATATACTTCACGGGCTTTGTCACATTTGCTTCTGCGAGTTGTACAGTTTTTGTCAAAAAAATTAAATCTTGGTTTGGGTAAGCGCAGTTAATTTTTTCCATCTTTGTACAGGTACAAGAACATCGCCCGTAGAATATACATATGTTCAAATTTTTGTAAGTTTGCTTACGTAGTAGGTAAACAGAAATGTGTTATTAATATGCGTTGTATTTATGGAGTCATTTCTTACAACTAATTAGATTAAAAAATGACTTATTTTCATATTTTCGGTAAGTGTAGTTGCTCAATAAAATTACATGTCGACTACGAAGCTGAATAAATTTTTTTGAGCCATATCGCATCAAGGATATTATACAAGGCACTTAATTCTAATTCATTTCAAATTTTGAATTTACAGTCATGCCACATTACGTTCTCTGCTGTTGAAATTTCGTAATTTTCTTTAACATATAACTTATGGCGTACGTCAATTTTACGGGTTTTTGAACCTTACAGATTAAAAATTCTACATAAAAAAGTAGATAACTTTAGATGTTATATATTGAGTTTTAGTGATATCTCTTCTCTTTTTGAATCTTATATAACTATTTCTACGGAAATCCGTCAATGAGAAATAAATTGGAGTTAAAATGTTGCCGTTACACGGATTAGTACACAGATGAAGCCTACTTTTAGGTTGAACAACAGGTCGTTGTGGCGACCGTTTAGGTAACAGTTCATAAAAAATATATTTACAGGATCGAAAATGATAGATGTAAATTTGAAAAAATTGTCGACGTTTTCGAGGTTGTTTTACATTTTTCTACATTGTGCGCGTGTATGCGTCAATTTTTTTAACCGACGTGGGAGTGTTTGTTCCACATTTCAGTTTCGTATTTTAATTTTTGCGACTATGACGATTCACAAGAGTTAACTGTCGAATTAACGGGTTTCCGCAAAAAAGGTAAATGCGAAACGTGGTAAATTTAATGTTAAACTGCGTTTTTTTTTATTACCTTTTTGTTTCTCTCTCTTCCTCTCTCTTTTTCATGTGTATATATCGTTATATATAGCTAATGTAATACGTAAATATAAGTTATTAAATGTTGTTATAAATTGTTTCGAAATCAATGCCAATAAAGACAGAAGAAACAACAAGCAACAACATTTAAAAACATTTTCCATTTTATGCCAATTTCACATAAGGTGGCTAGAATATATTATATATATGTGGGAACACATACATAACTGATCTAAAAAAATTTTGACTTTATTGAATTAAGAATATATATAGTCATTAAAAGAAAGGCTTATATACAATATTTTTACTTTTAAAGGTATATAACATCGTGAGCGAAAGTAAAGTTTCTACTCAATGGTTTTTATTTTGCTTGGGGTTGTGCCTCTCACTTAAACTTATATGAAAAATTATTTATTAAGAGGAACAGTGTCCAACTGCAAGAGAAACATTTCAGAAAGAAACGTTAGAAAATAATCCAAAGTTTTGATAAAAAAGGACAATAATATAAAACCAATCATTAAAAGTAAAAATAATAAGATGAATTTAAGCATATGCATAAATTTTTTAGGTTTTCTTTTGTGGTAATAATCAACAGGTGCGTGTACATATTATCGTAGATTGTCTTGCACAAATTTTTTGTGAAAAGAAATTTTAAAAGTGTTCAGATACTCATCGTTCAGAATTTTGCACAATATTAAACGACGATTACAATTTTTCACCTTTCATAGCAACGAAACGATTGAAGCGTATTTGTAACGATTAAAGCAACCACTTAATAACGAATGTGACAAATAAGGCATAATGATAAACAATTTACTAAATTTTCTTATATCAAGAAGCAAAACAGTGGCATGAAGATTGGAAACCGCTGGTATAAAACATTCTTATGGCAGAAAAAGAAATCATACGTTCATGCTGGCTCTCCACTATTCTCTGTTCCGAAAAGTCATCGAAAATATATTAGCTTAAATGAAACGCATTTAATATAAAATCAAGAAGATAGCGTGTTTCTAAACGCTCAATTCAAGTCATATATACTTTACTTGTTGAAAAGTAAATATGTGAATTTTGCTGCATAAAGAGCTAATTTCTAATCTAATCTATCTAATCAATCCAAGTAGTCGGAAAGATATTATTAATTTTCTTTGTCTATAGAAAATCATTTTATTTAAAATATGCGCGATTATATTTATATTTATGTAACTATTTATTATAATATGTATAAAAGAAAAACTATAGAATATTTTTTCTTAAATCAATCTACCGAAATCAAAGGAACAGCGGTAACACTATTGCCCGAAATACGAATATTCGTAAATCATGGCATCTCCATCTAATGTCTCGCCCTCAAAATATAATTAAACAGAAGTGAAATTTGGTGTTTCTTTAGGCTGAATTCTTTGGTTCTGCAGGTGAACCACATACAAAAAAATCTAAAAAGCTTTTAGTAATTCTCAAAACAACAATAAGTAATATTAGTAAAGTGGAAAATAATATTTTTGACACGAAAGTCAATAAAATTTTTCTCTGAAAAAAACCGACAAAAAATTTTTACGTGCGGGAGGGTGATAGCTGCTTTTTTCTTTCATTTTATATAGAATATATTTCATAATTGCTTGTGAGGGAGAGAAAAAAGATCGGAGTGTAACGAACAAAGAAACAAAAAAAAAAAAAAAGAAAAAGAAAAAAAAACAAGGGGAAATTGACGCAAAGAAGAAGCATCATTAGTAGCAGAATTTTTATTACAATTGAAAAATTGTGGCAAGTCTTTTTGGAAAAGTGATTAAAAGAAAAAATTTGTCAGAAAAGAAAAAAATTTCCTGAAAAGAAAAAATTTCCTACAAAAATATATTTTGCATAAAAGGCAAACATTTTCTTCAACTTTTTCTAAAAAACCAGCAGTAAAGGGTAATTTTATATAAATCTCTCAAAAGTTTATAGTGTATGCGTGTAGATTTTACAAAGAAAATCTTATACATAATCTACACGGCAAGAAAAGGGAAGAGTGCTTAGTAAGGATAGTGTGTATGTGTTGCGAGTACAAATTTAAAAAAAAAAAAATCAAAATTACAACAAAGAGCGATTAGCAATCCGCATTTGTTGTAAATTTAAATTTTTTTTTAAGAAAACTTAAATTCGTCGGTAAATATATGTAAATATCGAATAGTCAAAAGAGAAAAAAAAAAAAAGAAAAAGGAACACGTCTTGCAGATTTACTAAATTAAATTTAGTTAAAAAATTTTAATATTAATTAATGTATAAAAATTTGATTTGCCAAATATTATCCTTGAAAAATAACTAACACACAAACACAGCCAAATAGAACGAAACCTCGTAGACAATAAAAAAGCAGAAATATTAAGATTAAAAGAAAATGTGAAATGATTCAAGCATGAAACGAGAAGAAAGTTTTTCGTTTTAAAAACCGTAAGTTGGAAAGAGTATATTATATAGTCATCACTATAGCATGCGGAAGAGCGATATAGACAACTCTGGTTTTGATAGCAGTCTTCAAGCAAGTGTTTAAGTGAGAGTTTGAGAATGAGGGAGATTGTAAAAAAGAAAAGTGAGAAACGAAATGTGAAGATTTTTGGTAGAAGTTTAGAAAAAAATCCATAAATTAATGGAAAATAATATTTATTAATATTATAACGCATTGAATGTTGCAATTACTTCTGTTTACTTATAACGGTGAAATTAATAACAATATTTTTTTTCATATTTAACACAAGCAAGCAATGTGATAAATTCCCAGGTGTTTTTTGTAATATCATTTACTTTATAACAGTCATTGCGCGACTTAAAAACTACTTTTCGTAGCTTCTTTCGACAGTTAGTTTTTAGAAAATCTTTGAATTTAAAAAGATAAATTGTGCAAATTCATTGAAAATTCATTAAAGCAATACATTACCTTTGTACTGCATTTTGCAGAAAATACATATTTAGATGCAGAAAAGTGCGTATATGTGTATATATATAGTTTTTCTTGGATGCTTGAAATTAGGTAAAAGTTCGTTTTTAAAATATTCCAAACTTTAAAAAGTTAATTTCATATTACAAAAATGAAAAAACATCACAAAAGTACGAACGTAGGCAATTTCCCAAAACCAGTTTAAAAATCATAAAATTATGGACTCGAAGAAACAGTCTTTCTGCGGTGTTTCCATTGTGTTAATTTTGTCTAAATTATTTGCAAGCAGTTCGTCCTATTTATATCTATTAAATCAACGATGGTCGTGGAAAAAACCAATTGCTTTCAAAAAAAAAAAAAAAAAAATGTTTAAAAAAAGTGCCTTCACCAACAGTTCTTCGTAGGTTGTATTCAGTTAAAAATGGCCCTTAAATGAAAAAAAAAAAATTATAAATATTAGTTTTTATATATATTAGTTTTTTTATATAGGTGGGTTATTATTTCAGGTCCCTAAGCTGACTGAGATGAGATTTGACTAAATTTGTGCGCTAAACTTCAGGCAGTTGACATATAGACGGGTGAAGAGGGAAATACACATATTCTGCAGAGGTTTAGATGTCATCAAAGAGGACAACATTACAATATTTGAATATTTTCTGCCCTCCCCCCTCACCACCCACCCTCACTAAATTTATACGTAAATAATCCCATCTTTTCAAAATTCAAGTGAAAAGGTTGGGTTTTTTGGTTTTGTTTAATTAGTAATAATAATTAATAATGACAATTCAATTATGCAGATGTTTTCATTTAGAAAATACATTTTTTGAAAATATGTTTTTTTGTTGCAGCAATTGTTTTCTAGCATTTGTTTCGATAATCATATATTTTAGATTTGATATTTAGATATTTGAGATTATGTTGACATATTCAAAATCCATTAGAAATTATCTCGATTGGTAAAAGTGGGAAAAAACCGTTGTAGCATAAGCACTGTGAAATCTTATTTCTTCAATGTTTGTGAAAATGTTCGATGCTGATCTTAATCAAAAAGTTTTCCAAATACATACTGCTTCTCTAAAAAGATTCGCTGGGAAAGTGCTGCATTATCTTAAAATATTGGAACGTGTCTAATGTAAATATAAACATCTTCTATTGTAATCACACCCATGAAAGACTGCTTCTTTGTTATATTCTATATTAGGTCTGAAGCTTTATGGGCAAATTTTTAACTGGACGCCCTTAACTAAAAGTTGCGTTATATTTTGCTAATTGCTAGTTTAATGTGATCTGCAGAGAATGTGTGCTTATTGCGATTGATTCTCACAATTTTCCTTATTGAAAATGCCATTGTTTCTATTTCAGTTGTTTTCTTCCATTTACTCTGTCAGTTAGTATTCTCAATATTAGTGAGAATTTAATTAAATGTCGTAAAATAAGTTTGCTATTCATTTTTGTATTCTTGCATAAAAATTTATCTATTCATGGCTTTAACTATTTACCTCAACAAAAATTTTTTTGAGGCTGATAGGGTATTGCTAAAAGTTCTTTGAGCTGTTGGAAACTATATAGCTTATCAGGTTCAGGTAACAGTAAATTGGGGCTAGGTTGCTGTCGTATTAAGCTTTCACCTCGCTAACTAAAGGATCTGCTTGTGTTAATTTATTTTATTAGTGGCGAGAATCATAGCTTAAAGGTTATATTTAATTGTGGTTTATTGATTCAATTGTTTGACGTTGTGCCTCTGCGCTACAGCTGCGTAAAATGGGCGAAAATAGCAAAAGTTGAAATTCAATCGCGGAATGCTTGATGGAAACAACTAAGCTGTGTGGTATAGCAAGTAAAAACTTGCTGGTGAAATTACATTAAAAATTATTAAATTGTAGAGGAGATGGTGAGACGTATTTCTAAATGATCGTGATGACGTCTACCTCTTGTCCTTGTAATAGAATGTAATTCAATTGACTTGCTAAGCTTGCCTACTACGATTGTACTGTAAGCTCCATTCTGACATTAGAAATTCGGAAATTTCCAACTCTTCTTTTACCCATTCTCTCTCTCTCTCTCTATCTATCTATCTATCTCTTTCTTTTTATCTCTCTCTCTCTCTCTCTCTCTCTCTCTCTCTGATTTTAACATCTCAAATTCATTTTTCCTCTTTAGCATACACTTTTCAAAGCATATCTTCCGGAAATCTTATAAAAATCGTTTAGAAATCCGGTTTTCAAGCACTTTTTTTTTATTTTTTACGCTTTTTTTTTTTTCAATTGATGACGTCAATTTCGTCATCACATGCGTGCTGTTCGTCTCTCCTTAAAATATGTAAAAATCAAATTGCTGTCCATTATAGAATGCCTTTACACATAGCAACACTTCTCAACTAAAGTATTACATAAAAATGCAATGAATAAAAACGCATCAGCAGAATTTTAAGAGAACATTTTATAAGCAGCGAACACAAATAGAGGGCAAAAATGTCTGCATGAAAAGGAGAGCGCTCTCCGCGATAGGGAAATATGAGAGAAGGAAAAATGATTATGAAACTGGAGACAACTAAATGACAAGATGTCACAACATTTTATTCAAATTTCAAAATTACTAAGATATTTGTTTTTGCTTGTTCCACGCTGCTAATTTCAGCAGCCATTTAATTTTATAGTCATTATATGTATGGGATAAAAGTGCTGTTGAACTGTTGCACTGTAGCAAAAGCAAATTGAGATTTCGGTCTTTTTAAGTGAATATTCGTTATGTGTATGTGCGTATGTACGAAAGAAAACAAAAGGTTGGTAACAAAGCAACTATGATCCAAAGAAAATGAGATTTTGTTAGTTTGAATTTGGGACAAAATGTTGGGACATCTTGTCATTTAGTTAGTCGTTTCGGGTGAAACATACTCAATACTTTCAATTTTGCTGAGCAGGCATTTCAAATTTATTCAGTTGATGTCACGAATGTCCGCGTTTTTTTTTTCTATCTCATATGCAAAGCTAAGAGAGGAAGCAAGAGCAATTTTGTTGTAGGTGGCTTCTCTTAGATCTGAAATCATCGCGCAGTCCTCAGTCATTGGTTTAATTCTCCTTGGTATAAGAGAGTGTAAGGGAAAAATAGAAGTGGCAGAAATGCGAATATTTATTAGCACAGAGACAAAGGATTTTTCGTCAATGCTCCCTAAAGTATTTTTCTTTTGTTTCTTTTACCATATTTGCTTACCAAATGTATGGTGGTTTGTCAGCAATTTTTTTTTTAAATCGTTAATTTACCGATTTTTCTGGTTAAATGCTTTAGTTTGGCATGTTTATATATATACACATTTATACGTATATATATATGTAAGCAAAATTAAAAAAGTTAATTCCTCGACATTACGCAGGAAATTAGAAACGAAACCTGGCTAACTTTATATGAAATAAAATATGGAAAAGAAAAACAGAAATCAAGTCTTGATTAATCAATTTATTTAAAGAAGCGATAAAGAACATGTGTAAAAATAAAATAAAAAATTGCATAAATTTCTAATGAAAAGAAAGTTTACAAAAAGATTAATTGAAAAATAATAAGAATTCAGAAAATGAATTTTAAATTATTAAAAAAAAAAAAAATGTTTTGTGAACTTGTTTTTCTATTTAAAACGTTATTATATACTGCAGTAAATTATTAGAAATGTTCGTAAACTTTTTTATTTTTTTTTTTATTTTTTCTTTCTTTTTATAAAAAATAGATTCTGCGCACTGTTTTTGCTTCTGTTCCTAATTCATTTTTCATATCAATTTTTTTTTTTTTTTATTGAAGACTATCCGTAGGCAACTGACTGCTTTGGATTAGGTTTTGGCGTCTTCCTAATTTCCAACACTTTATGTGGTGAAAAATAAAGTTCTGAATTTTGTTGTTGGAATCTTTTTGATTCTTGTGTCTTCTTATTATATGGGAGTATAAACTATTTTGCTTCGTTCTTAAAGAGTACGATAGAGTGCCGAATACAACTATGACTTCTTCGTTTGAAAGTAATGTTTTTAATCTATATATATGAAACCGTATAAATTATTATACTAAAACGTACATAACATAGTTCCGTGCAAACAATGTGTCATTTGCTGATTAATTCGAGAGGAGACGCTTCTAAGTTCTTATAAACGGTGAACAGTGGATACGTTAAGATATCCAAAGGCAGCATAGTGGGTGAACCATTAATACCGGCAAAGCCAAATATCCATGTTGGAACTATTTGGCAAACTTAGCTAGGAGTGGTTGGTGTGTCATGATGTATTCCAACCAAACAACTTTCGTTGACTCAATTACGGTAAAAAAAGGCGTAATATGTCAAAAGTCATTATACTGTGAATTTTCGCTATGCCATATAGCGAAGCTCGCTCAGGAAACTTTTGCAGTTCTAACTTGAGATGCATTCCCCTTTCTGCCCGTTACCAGCAGTCGTTATTCCTTCCCATTAATATGGGTTGCAATAGGTGTGTTTGGTCTATTGTTTGTTCAAACTTTGCTCCGATTCTTATTACGTTAC